GAAAGGTTCTTAGATGTTTGGTACGCAGTACGGATACAGAGCCGGGGGTTCGAGGCAAGGATGCTCTTGCACAATGCGCAGGATTGCTACTAGACCCCATCCCCGGCACGTTTGGTGGGGGATTTGACTGACTACGGCTTCATTCGAGGTACGGATACGGACTCACAGATACGGAGTCTCTGACAGGACCCATACCACTTCCGTGCCGGTCTGCTCGGTGCTTGTCAATAGTCAAATGTCTGTACACTCTCCCTAGGCATTGGTAGGTCAGGTCAGTTAGGCGGATGCTGGGATTGCCTGTAATAGAGATGTACGGGGTTGTCACACGGCATGAACACATCAGACCAGTCGGAATGTCCTGCTACTGACAACTGTGTGTACAAGCTTCCTCTTCCTTCCTCACAGGGACTGGCCCCCAGCAGCGATGAGCCTGTACGAGATACTTGTTGAAGCCCAGCAGAATAGATCATCAGGTACGACGCCCTTCATGTCCTGCCCCCCTCCGCTTTCTACAAATGGATGAAAGGGAGATCTCCCCTCAGATCACGCGCAATGAACAGCTACCATGAGCAAGCAAGCCATTGGACTGCGATGTCCAAATTGAAGGGACGCTGGACCACCAGCAAGAGCAAAGCACATCCGTGCATCCATGCATCAGAGTTTGGATGATCATTTCATGTTGGTCCTAGCCGCACGGACGATCTTCAGCGTCCCAGACTTCATAACCGCGTCTCAACGGCGTCCTTCCCCGGAGGCACCTTCGTGACCATCTGCAAGAAGCACAGATGACATTTTGAAGACGTGCCTGGGCGTTCGCCATGCCAAGCGCAGCCAGGTTCATCGTCCTTCGTGTCAATTCATACCGTCTTTTCTGGTGGTGGGGGCTCACGGGGGGCTCGCACATGGGATTGTCGCCCATCGACTAGTACACGAGATCGTGGCGGACAGCATCTGGAGTCTCGACTTGCCGCCAAGATGGCCCTCATCGGGTAGCACACTACTACGCTAGGTATGTGTGCATACGCGCACAAAGAAAAGCTCATTCACTCAGTCGGGAACCAGTAAGCATTGCATGAATTCTGGGGGTGGGAAGGGGGAAGGGGGAAGGGCAGTGGGATGCTAACGGGAGAGCAACGCCGCAGTACGCAGTACAGATAGGCATCTGCTGGAGGCGAGCATCAACCACTGATCTCAAGTGGTATTCTGGGTGGAGGGAATAAAAGGGTTGAGCTGATGCAGGACCAGGGTTTGAGCTAGCCCTGAGAAAGATGAGAGCGAGCACACAGTTTCGAGTACTCAAACCACACCCCCCCTAGCCATGTCCGAGCTCTTTCATGGAGAGAGGAAGACAGACAGACAGACAGACGCACGCTATTCGTACACACCCGAGCCGACCCAACACTGGGCTGGACTGGGCTGACTCTATCCTTGTTCGAAGCAGAAAAGTACATACGTACCGTACTATATACACTGGCAAACCCGCGCAGACACGACACCACGCTCCTCTTGGATGGTCGCGCGCCCGGAGACAATAGCTCAGGGTGGAGCCTTGCAATAACATGGGCCCAAAGTTCGAATAAGCTGGAGGAGGTCCGCCGGAACAGCAATAACAGGGTTGTGCTGAGTCCTGACCGTAGCCGACGGGTTTCCCCCCCAGCTCTCGCCAACTCACAATTCGGCACGAGGGTACAGCTATCGCGCAGCCATTGCTCCTGCACAAGCTGCGCGAAGGGGACAGGTCACCGAGATGATAGAGGGAAAGGAGATCTCGGCACCGGGATCAAGGACATTTCTGGCGAGCGACAGAATGTTTGGATGAGAATCGCGAGTCCTAACCAAACGAACGCGACATCGTCGCGAGTTTGCGAACCGTGGGTCCGTCCCGCAAGGCCGACGTCAGTGCCAATCTCCAGCAGATCATCCCAAGTCTAGCGGTTCCCGGGGGAGAGGGTAAGAACCAGAAAGGTTTGGCTGAAGCACTTCGTCTTGAAAGGACAGGTCCAAGCATTACGTCGCTTGGACAAAAGATACTAACCTCACTATCCTTAATCTAGCCCGCCGCGGGATGGGGTGTGGGTGAGCAAGGACCAGAAGCAGATGGTACTATCATGGTAGTAAGCAAGCCAAAGCTTCGAAGCAACGCAGGCAGAGCAACGAAAGCACATGCGACTTGCTGTTGCTCGACTTGGGAAGAAGCCAATCTCAGGGGACAAGGAATACGGGACCCAAGTGTCTGGTGCTGGTGCAAGGATGGGGATGGGATAGGATAGGATGGAGTGCGGTTTGGGGACTCTCACCTGTGCGGCAACGGAGGAAGAACCAGACAGAGAGACGAGCCAGACAGGGTTCCAGCCTCTAGCCAAGTAGCCTCCCCGTTTCTCTGTATCTCATCCTCTTTCAGTTTCTCGCTCTCACTCACTTCAGTCTTCCAGTGTCTCTCTGGTTTCTGTCTATCTGTCTCGGGGCTCTGTCTTTCAATCCACTGCCTCTCCCGCCCTGACTACTTGGTACCTGGAAACATCTCCAAGGCATACCTACCATACCTACATCATCCGTCGTCTCTCCTTCGCCTACGCCTCCAATTGCTTCTTTCATCCTTTCTTTTCCGGCTGGCAGGTTGGCCCCCCTCCTCTCCTCCTGTCCTTCCCACCCCCTAAGCTCATTGAAAATGGCCAACTGAACGATGACAGACCTGGCTGGAACACAGACGACTTCTCACCCCCAACCACCATTCCCAATCCAGCTCGGGCTTCTAGGCTTATGACCACACCCACGCCCCTGGATCGAGTATTTCTCTGTTTCTCTGCCCACTCATCTTCCCTCACACCCTCCCCCCTTCTTGTCCTCACACCTCCTCGTCTGTGTGTTTCCCCAAAGCAAGGAGCCTCGCCCGCTCCTGATACCTACTTGATCCACGCCAGCAAGAGAGGCTGTCTTCGGTCTTGCTCATTCATCAATGAAGTAGGTATTAACCTTTAATCTCCAGAGAGAAGAGAGCGAGGGAGTCAGCCGGCGCCTACCTTTGAGCACCCGCACCCCCTTCTTCAGGAGCCCCAAGCTCACCCGTCCCGGCAGCCTGCTTGTGTTCATTGGACCTTCAACGCCCAGACCTCGTTGTCCCAAGCCCCAGGAGGGACAGTCAAAAGACGCCACCCTTCTCCCAGGCAGGGAAAGACCCTACAGTACATGCTCGGGGTACCTCAATTATCTCACTGCCTTACAGGCAAACTAACTGAGCGAGCGAGTGACTACCTGATACTCTCCTCTCCTCTTCTGCATCTTGGCTCTTCTTCCGGCTGGGACTCGACGAATGTCGGGCGGGTACGGACTGGTACAGAGACAACAGAGTGAAGAGAGAGACAGGCTCTTCGGAGAGACACTGACGAGGAGAGAAAAGCACGAGTTTTCGTCACATCTCTCATCCTGCTTCTTTCTCTCACTCTCACACACTATCTCGAGACCGACTGCCTCTACTCCCTTTTGGCTCATCAGACATTCCAACAAAGTCACTCTTGTTGCAGCTAGCAGCATAACAGAGGGAAAAGGAGCAGTAAACCAGACAGGACAGGATAGGACGGGGACGGTTCAACCTGAGAGTCTATCTGTCCATTCTCGCCGTGTCGTAGGGCAGGCGCTACTCCGAACCTCATCGACCATCTCTTCTCCTGGATTGTCAGACACACAACCCACCCCCGGTACTTGGAGCTGAGGCGCCCAGGGTCCTCCGGTAGCATTTGGTGTTGGACTTACCCATTCACAAGCCCCCTTCAGCCCTCCCGAGCTAGAGGGCTGGCTGGCCTTGACCTAAGCGCACCTGGTCTAGTGTCCCAAGTCCAAGTCCCGCACCATCAACGAGCTACATATATTCGACAGCCGCCTCTCCACACTGGCAAGGTAGACGGGACTGGACTGGCAACTAAGGTGATCGACGCACGATAACTCCTTTCGACATCTCGCTCGAAGGATAGCTTAAAAACCTGCACACAAAGCCTCCTTTCGACCCCGTCCGCCGGGCCTGCCATCTATTTACTCCGAACCCAATCCACCTTTTCCATCAAGCCTTACTCCCAGGGCAGCGTTCCTCTCCTCATCTTAGGGACTGACAATCCATACAATACTTGTATACTACCTGACACTACCTTTCCTGGTTACCTACCTATCCACCTTACCTACCTTGGCTACTTGAGCCATCCTCCTCACTCTCGTCAGCTTTGTCTAGTCTTGTCTTGTCTTGCCTTCTTCTCTCATTCCTGCCCCCAAGCCCAAGGTCACGACATTCCACCACTCACCAAATTTGGACATCTGATTGCGCCGTGTTGGACTGTCACCGGTCATCATCGTTGTCGAATCCAGTAGCGGCGGCAGCCTCTCATCTGTGGCATTCCTAAACACCGCGTTGAAGTTCCAGCTTTTTTTCAGCTCCGACGCCGCATCCCTAGGACAGGACCCGCCAACAGCAGCTGTTTCCGAGCTGCCAAGAGAAGGGCAGAAAGAGAGAGAAAGAGAGAAGAGAAAAAGAGACCCGGGTGCCTTACTTTGCTTGACATCCGCCGCGCCCCATTACCGTCAAGGTTGGTAGCTCAGTCACGTCACTTCAGACTCTGTGCTCCCACTTCTCCTGCTCCTGCCGCTCCTGCTCCACCAATCTTCCGGTCAGGCACAAGTACCGACAGGCCCAGTGTGCCTGCTGGATTAGCCCGCCCGGCAGTAACTATCCAAAAACACACAGTCAAAAAAGCAAGAGCTTGCTCGTGGCAGGAAAGAACACAGAGGATCCGAAAAATCACCAAAACCTCAGATACCACGACCCCCTACCCAAAATGGCAATGGAGACTTCTTCGAGCTTCACGGCTCGAAGACAAGCAACACAGGCTTTGCCCCCTTTCCATCTTCCATCGACAAATCAAGATATACCGAGTATGAGTAGACATTCTCATCAGTACCCTTTCAGTTTTCACAATCAGCCTCTGCAGTCACCATCATCGTGGCAAGCCCCGGCGATGGCTACGCCGTCGGCTCCCTCCTCCTCCTCCGCTGCCTCAAATACTCAACATTCTCCTGTAACCGCCAGCTCTGGTCTAACATCGCCTTCAGGAGTGCCAGGTGAAGGGCTTAGCCCGCTCTCTTCCGGTGTCAACACCACGAGCTCCCAGAGCTCCTATTATCCTGGAGGAAACGGCCACGGATCATGGCCTACGCCCTCGAGTTCCTACCAGCTCAGCTCTGGGACGCCCCAGGGACTCGTCCAGACCTCTCAGTATGCCTCCCGCGGGAGCACCTACGATCAGCAATCACCAATGTCCTACTCTCGAACTTCGCAATCACCCGCAACTGGCGAGGGTCTTCCTCCACCACCCTACGGGCAAACGCACCAGTCTTTCCAGGCTTATCCTCATGGAGGAGCGGGATCTACACCAGTCAGTCTGCCATCCCAGGGCCCACCAACACCCCAGGGTGGCATTCTTGGATCTCACGGCGCTGTCTCGACGCAACCTCCAACGCCCGGCGGTCTGCACTCCCATCTTGACTCCTACACCCAGTCTCGACCACCAGCGACACCCGGCTACTACTCCACATCATCGGCCCCCCAGCAATCGTTCAACAGCTACCAACAATCCCACACTTCGCCCACCGCTCCTTCTCCGACGACTTCGGCGGGCCCCGGGAGAGGACTTGCTGCGCTCCAGCACCCTTCCGCGATGGCACCTCCTGGTTCTTACCGCTACCCCGGTTATCATGTTCCGTCGATGGGAGGACCGATCATGTCCAACCTTACTTCCCCCGGGCACCAGATGTCACTCGTCACCGGTATGGGCGTCCCCGGCGGTTATGGAGCACACCATCTCGCACCGTCAATGTACGGCCACACCCACGGGGGGCAGCCCAACCCGCAGGCCGAACGGCCGTTCAAGTGTGATCAGTGCCCACAGTCGTTCAACCGAAACCACGACCTGAAGAGACACAAGAGAATCCATCTGGCAGTCAAGCCCTTCCCTTGCAACTTTTGTGATAAGAGTTTCTCTCGCAAGGACGCATTGAAGGTAAGTTCTTGACATCACAAGAGAAAACTTCACTACAAATCTCTGCTTTGGGAGATGGACAACAGCTGACAAACATTACAGAGGCATCGCCTAGTCAAGGGTTGTGGGTCGAAGGAGGGTGATGGCCAAAACGAGAATGGGCGACGCTCCTCGCAAGATAACTCTGATGACGGAACTCCTCCACTCAAGCGCGAGTAGATCGTTATACAGCACCGCTCACGACCTTCGATATTCGATCCGCTTTATTGATCGAACGGCTGAGATCACCCACTATCTCTGGGACATCCTGAGGTTGGTCATCATCTACCTAGGTAGCCAGGTGTCAACGTGGCTTGCGGCCGCGATGGCAATACCTCTGTACATGAAACTACCAAAACCACAGCATGGGGGATCCACGGACATAACGAAAACTCGAAAGACACGGTTGGCATTGGGGGGAATAAGGCCTAGTGACAGACGCTTCACAAAAAACCTTTCTTGAAAACTTATTTTTAATTCGATCACGGGCCGTACATCGTATCTCATTTTTTACAACACGCACGGTCATACACGAAAATCCCGGCGCTATACCGATACCACGGAACATTAATGGAAAGAGACTACCAGGGTTGTAGAGGTGGCCAGTTGGAATTGTGGTCACTTTCATTTCCAAAGCTTTCTTTCGCTACATGTTTTTCGGGGAAATCACACGTGGGCACGAGAACCAGTTGGAACACATGGGGTCGGGTTTGTTTTTACGGCGAATGGTTGCGGCATCGTCCTCGCTACACACGGATGCGGGATAGGACGATGCCAAACTGGGTACGGCTCCACGGAACACCTATATATCGGGAAAACGGAAACTGGCGTAGGCACTCACGAATCGGATGGATCACGATGACGGAGGGTGGCCTTAAACGACGGTCAAGGTTGAGTCATTGATTCTGTCAAAGTTTGGACGGGCATCTGGAACGGTCGGATTATGTACGCAAGAGGTCGCAGGTTATCAAGGTGGGATAGTGGAGTTGGGCATCAGGGACTGCTTTGGGAGATACCAAGATTATCAAAGAGACAGGAGACTGTACATTATTACAAACGCAAGAGAGCGTTTCCTGGGCAATTGACTCGGGGTGAAAATTTCGAGAGAAATGAGTAATGCTTGATACAAACATTGAAGTCTCGTGAACAGTGATGAGCCTGTTGCTTCACAGAGTGTCACAGCGGTACCCCAGAGCACGCTAGAAGCACGATAATGACGAGAAATTAGCATGTGAAGAACAATAGGTTCTCGCCCCTATTTTCAAAAAGATTCAAGCTTGGTCGATAATATTGACCATGATGGTGTCCGAGGGTGCTCCACGGACGAACGAACAACCAAATACCAGAGTACCACTTTGGCGAATTAGGGAAACATACATCCGCTCAGAGACTAAGTTGGCAAGAAATCACCCTCAAGAAGTGACCCTTTGAGACACAGCTGTATGAATCCATCAAAACAAAAATCCATAGATACTCGAAAATGATCGAATCACCTTTTCTCTTCCTCTGCTCCTCCTCATCCGAACCAAAGGCAAATTACAGCCGTGGCCTAGTGAAAATTACGTGCAGAGACTAGCGGATGGGAGAAGATGGCGTGAACGGAACGGACAAGGCTGGCGGGCAGGGCGTATGGGGGTGTACATTATAGTTTTGGCTTTTGGGGGGGGGGAGGCTTTTTCACCTCACACTTCTCGATTTGCTCTTAGAGGGCTTGGGGCCTTGGGCGTGAGGGAACGTGCTGGCGTGCGTGCGTGAACGGCCGCATGAGATCAGAGCGGGAAAAAAAAAGGATGGGATGGCAGGTGTCCGTCTGTCTGTCGGTCTCCTCGCTCTCTGCAAAAAAAAAACAAAAAAAAACAGATGAAAAAGAGGCGCTGGCCGCCGCCGCCGCCGCCGCCGCCGCGCGCCATACTCAAAACATCAGATGACATTGGCGAGAATAGGTAGATCAGACCTGCCCCCCCCCCCCCCCCCCTCTCATGCTCTTTCGGGCCAAGTTTGCTCTACGGGACTTTCCTCGTTCAAAGAAGATTGAGAAACATGGGATGCTTCTGACGAAAGAAGGACGTTGCTTGTGTGACCGCGTTGGGGATTCCTTAGTCGATCGCCGGGGAAGCAAACCACATGTTCGTCAGCCAGCCCTCTTCTTCTTCTTTGGTATTAACCTCGTTCCGGTCACAAAAACAAAACTTGTTCGAAAGGACGCTGTTAAGCTGGAATGGATGGAAGGGAAAACACGGTGCATTTGTGACACGAGCAGCCTCTGCAACTTTTTCCATCCTTCCGTATGCCATGTCGCACATGAGTCGCCCGCCGTATTCCAAGGCTGCAGTCACGGAGCTTAAGTCAGTATCTTAATAACAGTGGGGACTGGTGTAGAGTGATCAGAGCATCGTAGATGATGAGCGTTTTACTGACCTGATGACCGGAGTGTCCGTGAGAGTTTGTTACGCGTTATCCCGCTGTTGGATAGTACGCTGGGGATTCGTCAAAGATACGCGAAGTCAACTAAGAAACGATATGCAATCAATACGGAAGAGTCTAGACTCCCTTGCATGTCGGTTATCTGCGGAGAGTGTGCAGCTTGATGGGCTCGGCTCCATCGCGCAAACGAAGATTCAATGTACCGGAGAGGTTGCCCCAGTCCGGAGCTGTTAAGGTATTCATCCTGTCATACACAGCCGTGATGGCCAGTTCGAAATGCTCCGGCCTGATGGAGAACAAAGCCAAGCAAGTGGGGGCAAGATAGAGTAGCGGGGCAGGTGAAAGCGATCCGGCTGCGGAGCTGAATCGAGAACCTGACGTGAGCTGAGACACACACACACGCGAGAGGATGGAATGAGAGGGGGAGGAGAGGAAAAGCAGAGTAAGGTAGGTGGTAGGGCGGAGACCAGCCCATGTCCAAGCATTCCTGTCACTCCCACGCGATGGGCTGGTGAAGGTGTGCGAGGCGCCTCCTCCCGGGGAACCTCTAGCCCTTCCCCTTTTCCCCCTTTCTCTTAAAGCCGGCGGCACCACTAGTGTATGGGTCTGAGAAGCCATGCCATGTTGAGCATGCGGATTCGACAAGAGTCGGTCGTCGAGCTGCAGCTGGGTAACACACCTGAGAGCACTGGTTACCCTCATGGAGTGCGTCGATTGTTTGACAAGGCCTGGTGTTAACCCTACTGAAGATAGACCATCAACTCATTTGACGCTTTGGAGAGGATGGGAAACACCCCTCAACGGAGACTGTTGAATCGGAAGTGGCAAAGACTCTCGCCGACCAACCGCATTGACTCCTTCTGCCCTGCTTTGTCCTACTCACCAAGATGCGTGAGGGTGGGTGTATGGGAAGACATGGGCATCATCTTGCCCAGCTTCGAGTGATTTGACCATATGACTGGCCCAGCCTGTAGTGTCGCATATGTACGTCTTCCTTGGCAATTGAGTCACTTGCTTCATTGCACCAAAGATGCAAGCATCATTCAGCCGTAGGTAGTTCCTCCACTCGGATAGGGAGATAGAGGGGGAAGAGAGTCGGTTAGTAAAAGCCGTTCAGCATGTCGGTAGGATGGCGCACGTTGATGGCGGGCGTTCTTCGCGCTCTCTACTATCGTTCTTGCGACCATCAATGTGGAATAACCAAAGGCTTGTCTTTGGCTGCAACGAATTTTGACAAAGTGAGATGAACCAGGGCGTTGTCAGCCTCCTTGGTGAAGAGGGCATGCCTACCGCGCCACGTAAGCAATGTTCGTGTGGTAGGATGTAAATAGGAGGAGGTATTAGCGGGCTGGGGTGTAATCTCGTTTCTAATGGCCCCTAATGTGGTTGTCTTTTGAATGCTCCTGCGCAGATCAGCGCCCGAGCAGAACGCCTCAAAACTGGTCTTCCGGCTCCTCTTCGAGCCTAGCGGCAGCCTCGAAGCGGCAGCGGCTGAACGTCTGGACGCAGACTAATGATTCCCACGACGACAATCTCACATCCTGGTTTGCCGACACAACATGTCGCTTTTCTAATCTTGACAACATTTGGTCAGAAGATGTTGATCTGAAGTCATTGGCATGATGGTATCATGTCGTTGTGGAGTTTCATTCCAAATGAGGATACGTGCTGAAAAGATTTTGCAATAAATCCTCGTCTGACACTTCAAGATCGCTTGAAGCTAGCGTCCCGTCCATTAGTGGCATCTATCATAAAGGCGCAAGACGAAATCTACTATGCCTCCCTTTGCTTTGCGTTCCTTCGCCGTCTGGTCTCAAGTATGACTGTTGTACGATGGTTCCACTTGTAAGTCGATGATGCGAAAAGTTATTCTGAGGTAAAGATCTATGTTCTTGGGCTCGTGCCGATTCGTGGACGAGAACGCGATTGCTGCAAGATCGTTGCCGTTAATGTTACGTGACATTGAGTACTGGTATATTGATTATTGCAAAACCCTTGGAACCGAAAGTAGGACAGATGCTTGACGTCTATCCTGCGCAGACAACAGTCACAGTGTCGAAGTAGCCCTACTGAGGTAAGCTTGCGCTGATGCTTTTGCCGTGGGCAATGGTCAAGGTCGATTAGAATCTTGTACTCGATGGTTGAGCTCCGCGCGTACTATACGCAACCGGAGGCAGTCGTGTTCAAGTAGGTGAACCAAAAACAACATGAGCTGTTATTATTCTTCAGTTCCGATATCTCGAACTTCTGAAGGCGCACGTAGTTCAATGGTTGCCATTGCTGAACGTTTCTGACGTCACCTGTTCTTGCTGAACGATTCCACGGTGAAGTGTGATTACGAGGATTGAATGCCGTGGTTCAGAGGTCGGCTCCTGATTAGTAGGTTGTGATTGATAACAGGGCAGACTTTGGATGAGTTAGCAAGGGCGTTCGTTGCAAGTCGTCGAATTAGGCTCGGCAACTTGCGAAGTCGCCCCTTGATCCCGGTTCGGCCCCGTGATTTGGGTTGGATGCAGCTTGGGGAATGCCCTGTGTCCTGTCCCGGACCAACCTTGCCATTAACCATCCAATTCCCGTGGATGGTTCTGCGGCTTGGTGCAGATCATTTCCCCTTGGCCAGGGGCAGATAGCCACGGAAGGGCCCAACCGAAGCATACCAGCCGATCCGCATGTCGGCCAGGCCTTGAAGTCAACTTGGGCCGTAAACTTAGCGAGACAAATCCCAGCGTTTACTAGCATCGTCAGACGCTTACGGG